TATGACTTAGCACCCAAAAGTCAAACAATCTGATTAAAAAAGGAGGAAAGGGCTTGAATAGGTATTTCTTTAAAGAAGATATAGACATCAGTAGACACATGAAAAGATGCTTAACGTCACTAATCATCAGAGCAAATTACAATTATAATGAGATATCACCTTACACCTGTCAAAATGACTATCATCAATAAAATGACAAACGAAAGTGTTAGCGAGGATGTGGAAAGGGGGAACTCTCGTGCACTGTTGGTGGGAATGCAAATTGGTGCAGCCACTATGGAAAACAGTACGGAAGTTCCTCAAAAAATTAAAAATAGAACTATCATATGACCCAGCAATCCCACTTCTGGGTATTTATATGAACAAATCTAAAACACTAATTCAAAAAAAGTATATACACTCAATTGTTCATTGCAGCATTATTTACAATAGTCAAGATATGGAATCAACACAAGTGACCATCAGTAGACTAGTGGATAAAAAAGTAATGGTACATATATAGAATGGAATATTATTCAGCTATAAAAAAGAATGAAATTTTACCATTTACAACAACATGGATGGACCTAGAGGGTATTATACTAAGTGTAATGTCAGGCATAGAAAGACAAAATATTATTTTGCTTATATGTGGAAATTAAAAAGTGATATAAATGAACATACAAAACAGAAACAAACTCATAGATGCAGAGAACAAACTGATGGTTGCCAGATAGGATAGGGCTTGGAGGACTTGGAAAAGAAGTGAAAGGTTTAAAAAGTACAAGATAATACTTACAAACTAGTCATGGGGATGTAAAGTACAGCATAGGGAATATAGTCAATAACCTATAATAATAAAAGCGTGATATGCTAACTATACCAGATTGCCTAATGACCTTCTGGACACATTCTGGATGAACCTCTGGATGAATTCAAGGCTACAAGGGCCGAGGCAAACTACTGCAGTTGTGAGGGCTGAGCCTCTTGCATGACTTTCGTGCATTGGGCCTCTAGTCCTATATAATTAAAAGGCTAATATGCAAATGTTCCCCACAGGCAAGAATTTAGCCGATCAGGAGTTAGATGTGCACTGTCCACCAGAGGGTGGTGTGGAACATGGCTGGCACTGGCTACTTGGCGCTGGCATTGGATGGCAGTGAAGGCACTACTGGCCTTGATGTGCCCCCACGAGAGTGGGACTGTGGTGGGATGGTGGATCAGGTGAGTGGGTGGCACCAGGCCAAGGTGGGTGTAAGTAGAGGCCTCAATTGCCCCACCAGTCTCCCCACAGATTGGCCCTGATCGCCAGCCAGGCCTAGGGATCCCACCCATGCACAAATTTTATGCACTGGGCCTGTAATATTGTAATATCTATGTATGTTACCAGATAGACTTATTAGAGGAATCACTTATATAAAAGTTATATAAAAGTCAAGCCATTATGCTATACACAGAAACTAATATAATGTTGAATGTCAACTGTAATTGGAAAATAAAACGGGGATAAAATATGACTTAAACTACTAGTTTTTAAGTCAAAATTTCAAAAGGTATAGGGTAAAAAGTAGAATTCATTTTCAAAAGCAATTACTTATTTTTAGTTTTCTGTATATCCCTGTAGAAACATTCTATGTATAAGCAAATGCTTTAAAAATACAAATTGGACTATATTATGTTCTTAGTAAAGAATGTATTTTGGAGAGAAACCAAGATGGTGGCATAGGTAAACACCTGAAATTGCTGCCTTACACAATCACTTCAAAACTACAACTAAAAGACAAAAATGGACATCATTCAGAACCACAGGAAGCCTGACTGAGTGGAAATTCTACAACTAGAAGGGAAGAGAAAAGCACACTGAGACTCAGAGGAGGTGCAGAAGTAAAGTGCAGAGGTATAGAGCTGTGTGTGCAAAAAAGGCTGGCAACTGAGGATGCTGTTGTCTTTTTCAATTGGGAGGGATACACAAGCTCCTGACTGCTTTGAACTCCAGTTCTGGGCGAGACTCTGGGGACCCAGAATCATACAGGAAGAAACTGGTATGTCTGGCAGCTTGTGGAACTCGAGGGCAGCTTTCTCTCAGAGGTGCTTGCAGTGATTACCGTGGGACACTGAGACCCCAGGGGCATCTTAGGGCAGGACTGAGGATCAGCCATAGCTGTTTGATCTGCCCTGTTGATTCCCTGAGACCCTGACCCCTCCAAGCTATGCGCAGAGGCTTTTGCATATGAATGGCCTGGCCCTTTGAAATCTAAACTTACCTAACAAACTGCAGCTAAGTCAGAGAGACCCAGAACATCCAAAAGAAGGCGTAAGGTCTCACAGCAGCTTGCATTGCTTCACAGCTGGGCCTCATCTGGGCACCACCATAACCAAAACAAAGAAGAGGAATCTACAGATCTCTCTGTAGCTCCTGCTGGTTGGCCTAAGGCAGAGGCTAAATTAGCACCTCCTTGGAGATCCAAGAGCCAGTGTATCCAGTGATCAGAGTGAGACCGCCCAGATTACAACTTCTACGATCCATAGGAATACACTGAAGGGGCAGACTCAGTGAGTGCCAAAGTCTCACTGAAGCAAGTCTTGCCACATAGGGAGTCTCCAGCACAGAAGTTCTCCCATCATAGACACAGCTTATTCTAACAGCTAATTGGCCTGTAGGTCAATTCCTCCCTGGGATACCAACAATAATCAAGGCTTAACTACAACAAGATTGTGCATACAGCCTACAAAGGGGTGCACCAAGAGTGTCCACCTCACGTAACTGGGGAGGCTGAGCAACTGGACCCTATAGGACATCTAACATACAAAGCCACTCTATTAACTCAGGAAAGCAGCCAAAATGCACAGACAAAAGACATGTCACAAATGAAAGAAATGGAGAAAAGCAAACTACTGGATATAGAGTTCAAAACCATGGTTATAAGGTTTTTAAAAGAATTTTCTAGAAACCACTGATAAATTTAGTGACACCCTGGAGGATATGAGAAAGAACCAACTAGAAATTAAGCATACACTGACTGAAATAAAGAATAATATACAGAGATCCAACAGCAGACTAGAGGATTGCAAGAATCAAGTCAAAGATTTGACATACAGAGAATCAAAAAACACCCAACCAGAAAAGCAAAAAGCAAAAAGAATCCAAAAATATGAAGATAGTGTAAGAAGCCTCTGGGAAAAATTCAAGCATATCAACATCAGAATTATGGGGATTCCAGAAGAAGAGAGAGAGCATATTGAAAACCTATTTGAAGAAATAATGATAGAAAACTTCCCCTACCTGGTGAAAGAAATAAACTTACAAGTCCAGGAAGCGCAGAGAACCCTGAACAAAAGGAATCCAAAGAGGATCACACCAAGACACATCATAATTAAAATGCCAAGTGCAAAAGACAAAGAGAGAATATTAAAAGCAATAAGAGAAAAACAGTTAGTTACCTACAAGGGGGCACCCATACGACTGTCAGCTGATTTCTCAACAGAAACTATGCAGGCCAGATGGGAGTGGCAAGAAATATTCAAAGTGATGAATAGCAAGAACCTACAACCAAGATTACTCTACCCAGCCAAGCTGACATTCAGAATTGAAGGGCAGATAAAGAGCTTCACAGATGAGAAAAAGCTAAAGGAGTTCATCACTGCCAAACCAGTATTACATGAAATGGTGAAAGATATTCTTTAAGAAGAGAAAGAAGAAGAAAAAGGTAAAGATAAAAACTATGAACAACAAATACATATCTATTAATAAGTGAATCTAAAAATCAAGTGAATAGAAATCTGATGAACAGAATAAACTGGTGAATATAATAGAATCAGGGGCATAGAAAGGGAGTGGACTGACAATTCTTGGCGTGAAAGGGTGTGGGGCGTGCAGGAAGAGACTAGACAAAAATCGTACACCTATGGATAAGGACAGTGGAGGGGAGGGGGGAAGGGCACAGGGTGGGGTGGGAACCGGGTGGAGGGGAGCTATTGGGGGATAAAGAGGGACAACTCTAATAATCTGAACAATAAAGATTTATTTTTAAAAAAGAATCTATTTTGGAGATTTCCTCTTATTATTAGACATTAAACTACCTCACTCTAACAATTGCATGGTATTCTACAATAAGGATATTCTTTAATTTGTTTATCCAATATCCTGATTCTGAATGCCCCCACCACTTGTTTACATTCTTTTTAAAAAAAAAAATTTATTGATTTCAGGAAGGAAGGGAGAGAGAGAGAGAGAGAGAGAGAGAGAGAGAGAGAGAGAGAGAGAGCGAAACATCAATGATGAGAGAGAATAATTGAGCAGATGCTTCCTGCACACCCCCTGTTGGGGATTGAGCCCACAACCTGGGCATGTGCCCTTGACCAGAATTGAACCTGGGACCCTTCAGTTCATAAGGCAATTCTCTATCCATTGAGCCAAACTGGCTTGGACTTGTTTACATTCTTAACCTATGTTGCTACAAATATATTTTTACATGTCTGTGCACAGGTGCAAATATATCACATGGATAAATTTATAGAAATGAAATTGTTGGGTGAAAGGATATGAATATTAAAACAAACACTTTGATGGAGACTGGGAAGTTGCCCTAAACATGTTTACAGTCTGATCAATAGTGTATGATAGTGCCTGTTTGTACAAAACCTTGCCACTAAGTATTTTATTGATTTTTTTTAAAACTTTTGTTAATTGGAGAGAGAAAATGGTTTTAACTTGCATTTTTAAAGACTATGAGTACAGTTAAGAAATAATACTTCTTAAAAATGATAATTAGTGATAAAACTGAGAACTTTCTAAGTTGTATCTGACTTTGGGTCTCTTTTGGGAGAGAGGCCCCAGGGAATTTAGTTATAAGAGTAAATGTACATGGATAGGGCTCATATAATGTGTAGTGATCAACTATTTTAACCAGAGACAGTTTCATAGATAGGTTTCATTTTTTGAAAAAGAGGAAGAGACACCCTTCTGTGGCTGGGTTTGGGTTTGTCAGTTGTCACCTCCCCCTCCTTTCTGGGACTTCCCACTGTTCTTTAGAACAAATCAGATGAGCAAAACCGACTCTTTTTCCATTGGATCAGTCATAAAAAAAAGTGGAAATGCAATGAGCGGCTTAGTTTCTTGGTTTTCATCAGCGAAAGGAATACTCACCAAAGGCTTGCGAACATTTCTGGATAAAGCACTGGCTGGCTTATTCATCTTCGTATGGTCAATCGTGTTTCTGCAGCACCAAAGGAGCAGATTGGTTAGTGAAGGTAAGAAAATGAGGCAACAGGCTCTGTACCTACTAACCTTTTCTTTCATTTCTCTTCTCATACTTAGTTTCTTTAATATCAGAACTCAGATCCAATCTTAGGACATGTAAAATGCTTTTCTAGTTTACCAAATCAGAGGTGAGTGGGAGTTTAAGTAAACATCCAATAACGAGAAATTAAGTCAAACACTTTCTTCTCTTACCTCCTCATGTTCACATTTGAGGCATTGGTAAAATATCCCCCAGCCAAAAAAAACAAAAAAACAAAAACAAAAACAAAAAAACACAACTGATTGATCTGATCAAATATTTGTTGGGTAATTTATTCAGTCCTCATTCACTAATTCCTTCACAGGTTTAACTTATGTGTTTTTAAAAGAAGGCCAACTGTACTTTCATAAAAGTAAAAATATATATATAATTTCACAGGCTAAAAAAACTTAAATAGAATAACAGAATTTTGCAGAGAGAGCACAACTCTTGAATTGTTACAGTGATGTAATTTTAGAGAGGAATACAATCATATACATTCCAATTGGATTCGACTCTTAGTTATTCATTGTGAGCTTATAAGTGTTTTTCTGTGTGGCAGGACATTCAAAGTGAATGTGATCTATAGTGATGATGGCTTTATTTTATGTTTTTTAAATATATTTTTTACTGTTAGTATTACAGATATCTCTCATTCTCCCTCTACCCCCTCCTCCCAGCCCCTTCTCACCAAGTCTTCACTACCCTATTGTCCGTGTCCATGGGCTATGCATGTAAGTATATAAGTTCTTTGGTTTATCTCTTCTCGTCCCACCAACCCCACATCCAGGTACAAGGTATGTTAGTCTGTTCCATGCCTCCCTGCTTCGGGTCTTATTTTGTTGGTCAATTTATTTTGTTCATTAGATTCCACAAATAAGTGAGATCATGTGATGTTTGTCCTTCTCAGGTTGAGTGATGATGCTTTTAGAATTGCCATCTGGGTGATTTGTTGCTATTAAAGACAGTGCTTGTACAGGTGGGCTTTTGTTTGGATTATCTTTACACTTGATCTTAGCAAAAAACAGAAAAGAAATTGTTTGAATTATCTTTAGATCTAGTCAAACATTCTTTTTCTTGTGCACATGTATCTGTCTTGAATATAGACCTGGGTTGGCCAGTATATTCATATGGATATTTTCAGAACATTGCTTGTAAAGGTCAGTGTAAGAACCTTGCATTTCTGAACTTGAGAAGTTTCTTGAAGGAGTAAATTATATTTAAAATTGGTGTAAAATATTCATATTATACAAAGATAGTGAACTAATTCTGATAACATTTTGATGGGATGTTTTCAGTAGTTATTTCAAGTTACTGAACCATTTTTAATCACATGCCTAATGATTATCTTAGATATATGATATTTCCCCTCTATGCACTTCTCAAACATGATAGAATGTAAATTTGCCTTCAGTAGTTGTTAATCCTTACCAAAATTTTGGTGTGTAAAGTTTATACACACACACTGAGTGCAGATTATTATGATCTCTAAACGCATAATAATCTGATCACTCAGTATATATATTGCAAATTGCCTTTCAAGAACGTTTGCTTCACCCTCAAATTTGAGACAAAAAAAATAAATATGCTTACCTGATTGGAAATTTAAAAATAATAATAATGTGTTGAGGAATGTCAGTGGAAACAGTTAATCTCAAACATTGCTGGTGAGAGAATAAATTTTCCCAAGCCACTTGAAAGGCAATTTGCAATAGCTAGGATATAATAATTCAGCTTTTCCAAAGTGGGCGAGCCTAAGAAAGCATTCATGGAAGCATGCACAGTGGTTACACATAATGAAAACACAAGAAAAATCCCAATGTCCACTATGAGAAATGATTTGCTAACATAAGCTGTGTCTGTATATGTATGATTTATGTAACTGTTAAAAGATAGATCTATATAAGCAGACCTGCTGACAGGTGGGACCCAAATCGCACCCCAACTAGTTAGGCCCAAGACCTTCTATGGAACAGCAGATGCTGTCTTCCTGTCTTCAGTTCCATAAAACTATATCCTGTCATGTGGGAGGAAGCCCCATCCCTCAGCCTCCATTATTGTGCGGTTGTGGTCTTTTGTGCACTGTTTCTCAACCCAGCCTATCAGATGACCTAGTTTGCATGCACGTAAATTGTTCTTCCAGGGATAGGATGTTCTGCTGCGTATCGCCTCTGACTCCCCCACTTGCTACCGATCCCCAATCTGCCTGCTTTCCTTTTGCTCTTGCCAGTTACTCCTTCATTCAGAGGACTGTCCCAATGATTGATGATGGATTTCACTGTTTATTTTTAAAATATTTTATTGATTTTTTACAGAGAGGAAGGGAGAGAGATAGAGAGTTAGAAACATCGATGAGAGAGAAACATCCATCAGCTGCCTCCTACACACCCACCACTGGGGATGTGCCCACAACCAAGGTACATGCCCTTGACTGGAATTGAACCTGGGACCCTTCAGTCCGCAGGCTGACACTCTATCCATTGAGTCAAACCGGTTTCGGCTGATTTTGCTGTTTAAAAGAGCAGATGATTTTGCTAAAGTTTCACGCAATCCTGATAAATACAAGGGTTGGCAAAAGTATGTTTACAGTTGTTCCTATGAAAAAAGACATGCAGGTTATGCTGATTATGATAGCTTTGTTAACCCAAAAGAATATCACAGTGGCACAGTGCACTTAGGTACAATCTTGTAAGGGCTCAAGTTGCTGGCCTTCATTATATACACACTGTTGTAGTCAAATTGCTATACTCAAGCACACTTTGGCACATTTATTATCATCAATTTTTTGACATGCTTCACTTATGCAGTGAATCATATCATCCACCTTATGTGGCTTTTGCGAAAAGACTATTTTTTATTTTTTTAAATATATTTTTGTATTGATTTTTTACATAGAGGAAGGGAGAGGGAGAGAGAGTTAGAAATATTGATGAGAGAGAAACATCGATCAGCTGCCTCTTGCACACCCCCCACTGGGGATGTGCCTGCAATGAAGGTAAGTGCCCTTGACCGGAATCGAACCTGGGATCTCTCAGTCCACAGGCGACGCTCTATCCACTGAGCCAAACTGGTTTCGGCAAAACTTTTATTTTTGAACAACTTTCCAAAGAAGTCCACTGGGGTGAGGTCTGGTGATCGCGGTGGCATGCCACTGGCCCTCACTGTTGGGTAATTGTTCACTAGGAAACACACACTGTTTCTACAAACTCCGTATTGTTGAAAGAAGAAGCCATCAATATCAGGCTGTCTCTGTGATTGTGGTAAAACACTGGCCCTCAGCATGCTGAGATACAGGTTGTATGTGATAGTTGTATGGAGAAAATAGGTCCAAGTATCCATTTATACAAAAACCCACCCAAACTGTAATCCCTGGCTGACTCAATGGTTCTATCATTACATGGGGATTTTCTCCTGAATAGCAGACACAGTTGGGTCAATTTCCAGCACCTGAAAGTTTTAAAAGGTGCTTCGTCGGACCACGCAATTTTATCAGTGATGACACGGCCTTCTCTTAATTCACAACCACTTCGCAGAATTGTAAACTGTAATCCAGATCATGTTTTAATACCCATGAGGCAATCTTGCCTGACACATTTCCAAACCTAACCATTGCATTAGATGACTCAAAGATCTATGGGAAATGCCTAACTCAATAGAAACTCTTTGTTTTTTTGTGTTTTGTTTTGCTTTTGTGGGGGATGCCTGACTCACTAACATTTCATTTTCCTGGTTGTAATACTGTCTGGCTTACCACTTTTTGGAGCCAGTTTCATCAAATTTATAGCATATTTTGTAAACTGTCTTCTTAATGAAGGTGTATCAAATCGTTGAGCACATTTTTGTCGAACCTTTTCTGCATTCTCTGTCTTCCAGTATTGTTTACTATTGAGTATCCACTTTCATTGGTTAAGTTGTCAGCCATCATTATCTAAAAGATAAACTAGTCGTAACTGGTTTGGCTCAGTGGATAGAGGGTTGGTCTGCGGACTGAAAGGTCCCAGGTTTGATTCCAATTGGAAACATGTACCTTGATTGCGGGCACATCTCCAGTAGGGGGTGTGCAAGAGGCAGCTGGTCGATGTTTCTCTCTCATCGATGTTTCTAGCTCTCTATCCCTCTCCCTTCCTCTCTGTAAAAAAATCAGTAAAATATATTAAAAAAATAAAATAAAAGGTAAATCATAAGTAAAAATACAGAATAATAAGACCTAAAAGTTGATAGTATGATAATTAATACATAGATAATATAAGAATAAACTGTTTTGAGTATTCACAACTGTAGACCTACTTTTGCTCACCCCTGTATATTGGGGTAAGGGAAAAAAGAATCAAGAATTTCTTTCTAATTGGAGGACATGGATTCTGCATGAATAGTGAGGAGCTCTAAAATGCTGATATAGGAGATGAGACTTGAAAGATATGGGTAGTGGGAGAGGGGATAGATAGGAACTAGGGGTCTCAGGACAGAAGGAAAAAATGCACAAATACCTGGGATGGGCATGGAGTGTGGGAGAAACTGGGAGAAGTTTCTGGGTCTTGTGAGGCAAAGGCAGAAATGAGATTGAGAAGGCAGATAAGGATCATACATAATGAGGACCTAACCTGTATGGACTCTATTCTGGAAGTGATTGGAAGCTGTTACACAGGGCACCTGTTATATTAAATTACTCTGCTTGTAATATTAGGGGTGAGATGATGCCAGGTTATAGCAGTGGAAATGATTAAGGAAAATATTCATATGGTTATATTAAAATAACAGAGGTTAGCTTGGCCGATGTGGCTCAGTGGTTAAGTATTGACCTAGGAACCCAGATATCTCAGTTTGATGCCCAGTCTGGGCACATGCCTGGGTTGTGGGCTCAATCCTCAGTAGGCGGTGTGCAGAAGGCAGCTGATCAATGATTCTCTCTCATTATTGGTGTTTTTATCTTTCTCTCTCTCTCTTCCTCTCTGGAATCAATAAAAATTAAAA